CGACGTCCTCAGCTCTCGTCCCTGGGGCTGTTCCTTCCTGGGGAGAAACAGAACTGAAACAGTATCACACATTATGTATTAGCTCTAAAGTCTTCATATTCTTCTTTCAGTCGGAGGGCAAGGATTTATTACATTCTTCTTTCGTTCCCTGATTACTTTACATAACCCTTTCTACACTGAACGTGGAAGCTGTTCTCGGCCCCAGAATTCTGGACTCAAAAGAGACATCCAGTGAAAGTTTTACTTCTACAGGTGAGCAGGCCCAGGTGATGTGAGGGCCTTGGCAAACAACACGGCCAATCCGGCTGAGAGTTGGACGGCGGGGAAGCACAGCCGTTAAAAGTGGGATCGGGTCGCCCGGATTTCACGCCCCGCAGGCTGGGGGCCTCCACACGGGGCACGTTCCCCCCGAGTCGCACTCGCCTCGTCCTGGTGTGGGTGAGGGAAGAAGGGAACCCGCCCCGCAGAGGGTGCCAGTCCCGGGGGACGCGGTGCACCCCGGGGGCTCGATAACTGGTCTCGATTCATTTAGTTTCATTGAGGCTTTGGATTTCCAGCGAAGTGCTTGTAAAACGTGCTGCCTTTGGAACCCTTCTGGCCGTGGCTCTGAGGTCCGCCAGGGCAGGCCCGGAGTTGGGAGCCAGACTCCGCTGGCTATTTTAAGGGGCCTGTTTGTGTAACTAAACGTGAAAGAGACGAGGTTTCTCCTTGACCACCGCGGGCGCCCCGCTGCGCATGGCCTCCTCTGCCTTCTTCCCAGCAAGGGGGCAGTCATGAAAGCGCTGCTAAAATTCAGCTTTCCTCTTACTAATGTTATAAATGTACATAGCTGCAGAAAGTCAGTCCCTTACCCATTCCTCCCAACTCTTGGGCACTCATTTTCACAGGCTACCACTTTCAGCCCTGTGAGCTTTTTTTGTATTTGCTTCCATATATTTTTTTTAATATAGAGCTTTTAAAAAAAAAGACTTTATTTATTTTTAGAGAGGGAAGAGGGGGGAGAGAGAGAGAGAGAGAGAGAGGGAGGGAGAGAGAGAAACATCAATGTGCGGTTGCTGGGGGTCATGGCCTGCAACCCAGGCATGTGCCCTGACGGGAATCGAACCTGCAACACTTTGGTTCACAGCCCGCGCTCAATCCACTGAGCTACGCCAGCCAGGGCTTTGCTTCCATATTTTTTTAAAAAAGATTTTATTTATTTATTTTTTTAGAGAGGGGGGTAGGGAGGCAGAAAGAGAGGGAGAGACGCATCCATGTGCGAGAAATACACGGATCTGTTGTCTCTCTCTCACTCCTAACTGGAGACCTGGCCTGCAACCCAGGTATGTGCCCTGACTGGGAATCGAACCAGTGACCTTTCGGTTTTTAGGCTGGCACTCAGTCCACGGAGCCACACCAGCCAGGGCTGCCTCCATATTTTTATGTGATCTTTTTATACTACTCTTTCTTGATGTTTTAATTTTAGATATTTTTGACTTCCGACTGTAAAGAAGATTTAGCGGTTCTATATTTCTTTCCCATACCCACATATATTTATTTACACGTACATACGCATACACATATATCTATATACCCTTCACACTTGGCTAATGCATTTATACTGTCGTATTTTGCTAAATGAATATTTATGACTCTGAAAACGTTATCACAGCTGCGCCACGTGGTAAATTATGACTGTATTTCCACCATGCTGTCGTCTCTGAGATTGATAGTTGTTGCCTCTGTCTGCTCGCATAGTCCTCCACACGTCTGTCTGTGATACATCCCCAACCTCACCTTCAAAAGGTGAAATCTCTTCACACCTTCACAAATATTAGGCGTCTTCTATCACCTTCATCTTCTTTTCCTTGATGAGGAAGAGATCTCTCCGGGAACCTGGGTCCCCTCTCTCCCGTGGACACTGGTGGTCCTCCCGGGCTCACGCCGGGTCCCTGCCATCCTGAGACGTTCCCGTCTCTTCTCGGCTGTGTCGGACGCCCGCTCCCTGGGTCTGCTGTCCCCTTGGAGGTTTGCTGCCGTGTTTGGAGGGATACGTCCTCTCGTAGCTTCCTCTCCCAAAGGGGAGAAAAGGAGGCAAAATAGTTTGAGATTTTGTAGGTCTGAAAACATCTTTATTTTTTTACTGTCATATTTACTGATAGTTTGGAATTCTAGCTGAGAGATTATTTTTCCCACAGGATTTTGAAAACATTTGCTCTGTTGGAGTTTTGTTTCCAGTTTGCGGCTGGGGCAACTGATGCCGTAATGATTCCCAGAGCTTTTTTTTTTTTTTAGAATTTTTTCTTTTCTTTTCTTTTCTCCTTCCTTCCTTCCTTCCTTCCTTCCTTCCTTCCTTCCTTCCTTCCTTCTTTCTTTCTTTCTTAAAAAAACTTCGGGAGCTTTTTAGGATATTTTATTTCTTCCAGTGTTTTGAAATCATATACAGATATGCTGTATTTTTGTGTATGTCTATGTTTTTCTAATGTGCTGGGTACCTGATGGGCTCGGTCAATCCGTAAATGGATGTTGCACTTCCGCACATTTTCTTGGACAGCCCGCCCCCACCCCGACTGGTTCGGTGTGATCTTCAGTCTCTCATTGGAATGTCAGTTACTCAGATATTGGATCTTCTGCCTTTCTCTAGTTTTAAAGAAGTTTTTCCATTCCTATTATTTACTTCCTTTTCTTTTGTTTGCCAGAAGAGTTTTCTAACTTGGTATTCCAACCACTGTCACATTTTTATTCCTGCTCTCATGTTTTTAGTCATTGAGAATTCTTTTTTGTTTGAATATTTGTTTTTTTTTTACATGACATTGTTTTCATTCCAGGAATGCAATGACCTCTCCTTTCTCTCTGAGGATATTAATTGAAATGATAAGGTTTTTTCCCTGTGTTTGCATTATCTTTGTTTTCTCGTAGCCCTGTGTGGTCCTGTTCACGGGTTTGGGTCTCCCACTAGAGGGTTTCCTGGGCTGTCCACTCATGCTCAGAAGTGGCATAGTATCAGGTGACCGGGAGCTCTGCGTGGGTGTCCTCCAGGGGCTGAATGATAAGCTTCGCAGCAGGAAGATGTATTGGGCCGCTGTATGTTTTTCTCCTGGAATGGTTCCTTTCCCCCAGACCACTGTTCCAGGCTCTTGCTTGGGGGTTCAAATCAGCCCGCCAGCTCTAGCTTGATGTCAGGTAGCGAACTAGCCTGGGGAGGGGGGTCCTGCCATTCAGTATGTAGAATTTTACTTAATCCCCCTCCTTTAATGTATGACCCCTCCCACTCCCAACCTGGGCCAGGGGCCAGGAGTTCAGAGCTTTCTCCAGTTCGGACTTTCCTCGCACGCCTACCTGTGCGTACCTGCGCACGCGCACCTGCCAGGATGGCCCAGGGCAGGTCCTCACTGTGTCCCCCCCTGCGTGGAGATCAGCGCTCCCACCCAGCGCTCCCATTTCAGCCTCGCCACCACCCCCAGTGTCCTCAGGGCTGTGGGTCCCCAGATCTTGACCCTTTCCAGGATGCTGTGACATAAGTTACGTGAGCTCTATTCTTGGCTTTCTTGGATGAAGTTGTCCTCTTTCTTTGGTCTAAGTCATTTGGCTGGGTTTCCAGTTTCATATTTCTTCTGAAGTTCTCCCTTATTTTCTTAGACCTTCTTGGTATAAGCCTTTTTTTAAAAAAAATTTTAAGTTCTTTTACTGTGAGAAGCAGCATGGACTCTGGGCCTACCTCTTGGAGGACCTAGGGAAGGTTATTTAATCTCTCTGTGCCTTAGTTTCCTCCTCTTAGAAAATACTAGTTAGACTGCTTTCTAGCACTAAGTGATTGAAGACATGTAAAGCATTTAAAACCATAGCTGGCTTAATAAATGTTAGACACTATTATTTAGAATAGTTGTACCTGCTTGTGTTCAATTAGCCATATTTAATTGGAAGTCCAAAGAAATGCACTTTAAACAATGTGAATCACTAGGTAAATAGTGATGGAAGCAAACAACAAGTAGAATGTGTCTGATATGATACACAAAGTGTCTAGGTTCATACACTATTTTATTACTGAAAGGAACCCAGAGACTGACCCTTTATTTTACAGATGAGGAAAGCCGGGACCCAGGGGGTTAAGTGACTGGCCTCAAACCTGGAGCCCAAGCCTTGGGATTCTTAGTTCAGTCTTGTTTTCTTTTCTTTTAATATTTTCTCTTTATTTTATTTTATTTTATTTTATTTTATTTTATTTTATTTTATTTATTTTATTTTATTTTTTAGAGAGAGGGAAAGGTAGGGAGAAAGAGAGGGAGAGAAACATCAGTGTGTGGTTGCCTCTCACATACCCGCACTGGGAACCTGGCCTGCAACCCAGCCATGCGCCCTGACTGGGAATTGAACCAATGACCCTTTGGTTCATAGCCCACATTCAATCCACTGAGCCACACCAGCCAGGGCCAGTCTAGTTTTCATTAAGTCATGTTCCCCTTCCGCAGGAGCAGGAAATGCTGCGAGCGTCGCATGATTTCTGGTCGTGGTGGATCTTACACCCAACCTCCTCCTTTTCATTTTCCGACCTCTGGGCTCAGACCCGGATCATTACCAAGCCTTGGTTTATAACACGCTCGCATCACTGGTCCAGGTGTAGCTGTTTGTTTATGTTTTTCAATAATGTCATACAGGAAAAATGTGAGCATCCGTGTGGTGTGCAGGGGCTGGAAGGGGAATTTAAGTGTGTAATCTCCAGGTATGCGTGTTCCAAAAATAAACTCATGAATTGAAAAGTATTTTTGGTGGGACAGCTGTTTCTGTTCTCTCCGTTGAATAGGAAGTTTCCTGATGGATGTGTGCTTTTCCAACTCTCTGCCTCATCCCACTCAAACTCCCCAGGCTGGGGCAGCAGTGGGTTAGCAAACAGAGTAAGACCGAGAGGAACAGGAAAAGGACCAGACACATGAGTGCTGTGTATTTAACACCGAGACACACCTGTCTCTACAATCTGTACGTGTTCTGCACACGGTGTGACGTTGGGTTTGTTGGCGCTGCAGGTCTGAGAACCATTGGCGTCATCACCAAACTGGATCTCATGGACGAAGGGACGGACGCCAGGGACGTCCTGGAGAACAGGCTGCTGCCTCTGCGCAGGGGTAACGTACCGTGTCCGCCACAGGGCTCCCTTTGCTGACATGCGGACACACAGCCGGCAGACCTGGGGGAGGCGTGGTTGGGACGTCGCCGCAGGTGTGAGGAATGGGGCTCTGATGAGTTGTGCTTTTTATGGAATGGCGATGTTCCCAATGATGTATCTATCAACAATGGTCCAAGGGGCAACTATTCCTTAATGTAACAGGAGTAAGAAAACTGGAAGAGGAAGGGGTTTGAAGGAAGACCATAAATACTCATAGACCGCATAAACATACACCATCCTCTTCTAAGGCTGACTTACGTGCCCACCGTACGACAGAGCTGCGAAGAAACACACTCTGTTCAAATGCACAGAGCTTTATGGGCAAACGGCATTATTGTGTTAATCCTAAAAAACTCTCATTAGCCAAACCAGCCAACCTTTGTTCTGTCCTGATTGGGTTTTGTGAAGGGACCCATTCCTCAGGCCTTAAAAAGAATTTTGCCTCTTATTCAGCCTCTTCGAGAGCCTTGAGATCACCCCAGAATAAGCAACAAAGCGTGCCCCAGTGCCATAGGTATGTGCCCTGTTGCAGGTTACGTGGGGGTGGTGAACAGAAGCCAGAAGGACATCGACGGGAAGAAGGACATCAAGTCCGCCATGCTGGCGGAGAGGAAGTTCTTTCTCTCGCACCCGGCATACAGGCACCTTGCCGACCGGATGGGGACCCCACACCTGCAGAAGGTCCTCAACCAGGTAAGAATGCGCTCCCAAGCAGCAGGAACTATTATGAAATGTGCAAGTGACTGCTGCAATTCATCTCTCTTATTTTTATATTCGTTGTTTTTCTAACGTAAGTCACACAGATGAAATGATAGGAATTTGAAAAAGGAATATGAACATTTAGATCCACTCTGTTACTATTCTCTTGAATGGAAACTTCCACTTTAGTGTTATTGAAAGCACAGTGCTCAAAGCAGAGACAGACATACTTATGTAGGAGCGGTGAACGGGGGTGTACACTTTAATACCCATTTTTTAAAAAGATTTTATTTATTTTTAGAGAGAGAGGAAGAGAGAGAGGGAGAGAGACATCAATGTGTGGTTGCCTCTTGTGTGCCCCCTACTGGGGACCTGGCCTGCAACCCAGGCATGTCCCCTCACTGGGAATTGAACCGGAGACCCTTTGCTTTGAAGCCATACAAACCAGGGATAATACACATTTTTATATGCAGCCTGTTGAAAGCACAAGCCAGTGACCCAGCACAGTCAGACTAGGGCCTAGAGGCAGGGGCAGGAGGAAGCTCCCGGAGGGCTGTGGAGTGGAGAGGAGGTTCACACCGACAGGTACCTTCGAGCTCCACCAGGGTGGTGAGCCCGTGGTCCTCAGGATGTCAGGAAGCCCCCGCGACTCCTACTTCCTTCATTTCCACCACGCTCTAACTTAAGCTCTCTTTCTGCAAGGTAGGTGATCCGGTAATCAGCCTGTGCTGGGTGTTCCTAGGCATCCTCATTAGTAACATCAGTAGCAGTGTAGCAGGGTAGACCAGATGGCCCCAGCCAGCACCTCTCATCGAGGCCCATGAAGTATCTTCTGGGACCGCAGAGGAGAGAGTCGGAGCTGCTTCGCAATCCCTGCCTGCACACGCAGCCTGGGCTGTGTGAGTCATTCCTCAGGTTCCGAGCAATTAGGAAAACAGTGGAGGCCGAGTTTCGTCTCACGAGCTAATCCTCCATCTGTCGTATGGGTGTGTGATTTTGTTTTGTTTTATGTAGCAACTCACCAACCACATTCGGGACACCCTGCCAAACTTCAGGAACAAGCTGCAGGCGCAGCTGCTCTCCATAGAACATGAAGTCGAAGCCTTCAAGAACTTCAAGCCAGAGGACCCCACCAGGAAGACGAAGGCCCTGCTGCAGTGAGCCCCCCCGCCCCCGGTGTTCTAGTTGAAGGCGGCAGCAAGCCCACTAACTCTGGGAGGCTTTGTATGTGGTAGCCAGCCAGCTGGAGTCTCTACCTTTTCTTGAGGAATAATTGTTAGTCCCACTCCGCTGTTACACAAATTTAACCAACTGCCTATACCATGCCCACTTTTATTATTTTTATCATTGGACTCTGTGAATGGGCAAAACCAATGCGATAACCCAGCAGGCTTTGCTTTGCCCTTAGAATCAGAAGTGGGCAGAGTTCCTGTTGAAATGTCACAACCTGCCTGGTGCCACTGCTCTCTCGGTGTCCCTTGTCCTCATCTTTTCCTTTCACTCGTTTCCTGTGACCTGGGTACAGCTTATCAGTGGAATGGGAACCAAGGATTCCACAGAAGTGTACAGACACATTGAACTTTCTTATCCTTGGCACTAACGGTTTGAATTTAGCCCTTCAAAACCACAACTGTGAAGACTGCCAAGTGTGTTTTTGCTCCTGCCTGATCTCCCCATCTTGTCCTTGGGCTGCTACAGTCATCCTTGTAGGGCCTTGGGGTCAGACAGCAGCACTGTCAGAGAGGGACCAGCAACTTGTGTCTTTTACCCTTTCTTTCCCTTTCGGTCCCTTCCAGCCTCACCTGTCCTTTAATCCCCGTACTGTCCCTTGGCTCACGTCCTTCTGCACCAGACGACACCCCCCGCCCAGCTTATTATATTCCAGGACATCTGGTGTCCGTCTTCAGAGATGACTTGCCTCCACTCACGGTCCCTCCCACTCTGCAGTCTCGCAATCAAAGTGCCCTTCCTTTGGTGTTGAAGTGCACGACATAGTGTCTTCTTTTGTGGGGAGATTTCTAAATGCTTGAATTATTGAGGTAGCATTTTAAATACATTCCTTATCCCATTTAAAAAATTATGAGATCATATAGAGGAAAAAAGTTTTTCTTGGATTCAACTCCTTCCTAGTTTGTTTTTTCTCTTTTCTCATCTTGGCCTTGGTGGAGCACCCACAAAAACTCTTCGAGTCACAGGGAAAGGAAAGCTGTTTCTCTTGATGCCCCAGGCGGTCCCTGTCTCAACATCCAGTCAAAGGGATGTCCTTGTGGAGACTGGTCTTGCCTTCGTGGCTCCCCTGGACTCAGAGCACAGAACTTTCCAGTTAGATGTTCCCTTGTAGACAAGAGATTCAGCTCCTTCCCCCTTCTCGCCCGCCTTCCCCTCCTCTCTGTGCGCTCTGCTCGGGGTCCGGGTCTGCGCTACCTGCTGGTGATTCAGCAACGAGTACGATGTTTTTGGCCTCAAGAAGAGGTCACGGTAGAGCAGAGGGAAGAGACATCTCAGAGACGAATCTGATAAACGCCATGTCTCTGCTGAGTGTAACATGTGAAGGGGGCCCAGCTGGGGAAGCAGAGCAGTTACCGGGAGGAAGGGTGTGTGTTCGCAGAGAAAGTGAGCTTGACTGAGACCCCGAAGTTAGGGAGGGGCTTGTCAGGCGGGAGGAGGAGGGCAGGGGGGCGTGGACTTTGGTGCCACGTGTCCTGATAGGCCAGGTGGCCGCAGTGTCAGGATGGGGATAGAGAGGCTGGACGTGTGTTTTCTGAAATTCCCTGGTGTTTCAGCACGTATGGCATATACACACCCTTCCAGGTGTTTAAAAATCTGCTGCACATTAGCATATGCATGAATATAGCCATAGCTGCACCCAATGATATTCTAGATTTTCTGGCCTAATGATTTGCAGGTACTTTTCCTTTATCCATGGTGCTGGCAAAAGATGTTGCGAGTCTTAGATGGCTGGAATTTTTTTCCTGTTAGATTTTCAGTTTGGAAGGCGTTCCATGGTGTCAAAACTGGAGTTTCCACACCAAGCCATCCCAGAGGCACGTGGTTTTCTTCTCCCCGTGGTAGATTTCTGGGTTGTTTTCCACCAGCCACCTGGAGGCAGTCCCTTCCTTCGGTGGACTGACGGAGCGCCTCTCGCGTGCTGAGCAGCGGGAGAGAAGCAGAGCTCACGGCCCCTGTCTCAGGAGAGACGCCGGCGGGGGAACGTGGCTGTGCGTCTGCCGGGGGCTGTGCTGACGACGACATGCCGAGGGGGCAGAGGAGGGCCCTTCTCGTGGTGGCCGTGGGGACAGGGGGCTGACAGATAGGGTCACAGACCGTGGGGGGTTTCTGGAGAACGAGTCCTGAATGGAGCCTTGAAGGTCGGATGGCAGTCAGCCCGCTGAAGTAGCCAGGGGCCGGGGGACCGGCGCCCGAGCAGAGGGGAAAAGCCCAGGGACACGGTGCACGCGGGGAACCGCTTCTGCGGGGTTGGCGCGGGAGCTGGGTGCAGACGCGGCGAGAGGCGGGGCGGCCAGGGCCAGACCCTGGACACTCTTGGGTGACGGGTGAAGGAGTTTTCATTTTATTATCAAGTTGTGCGGAGTCATTGAGCAGCAGGGCTAGAGCTAGTAGCGGGGAGGTCTGGGCTGTCACACACACGTGTCGTTCTGGCAGAGTGAGGCCTCTGAGGCAGCGGGGGGCGGGGGGCGGGGGGAGAGGTGCTCCCCGAGGGGGCTGGCTGGAACGGTAACGGTTGGGAACGCCCAGGGAGTGGATGTCGTAGGAGCCCTGGGCTGTCACTATATAGACAGAACGCATTGAATGACCCAGATATTTAGAATGTACGTATTTTAACTAGACACCTGAAGTAAGTCCTAATAGCGTGCATTTCAGATAGTTAATCCTGAGCGCTGAGCGGAGTGTGGTGTCACCTCTGCCGCAGACAGCACCGAGAACACCAGGAGAGGTCCCCGGGGGCACCCGCAGGAGACGGGAAGGAGAAGCGCAAAGCCTGGCCGCTTTAACTCGGATTATTTCTCCCTCGCAACGACAGGATGGTTCAGCAGTTCGCTGTGGACTTCGAGAAGAGAATTGAAGGCTCAGGGGACCAGGTGGACACCCTGGAGCTCTCGGGGGGTGCGAAAATCAATCGAATCTTCCACGAACGCTTTCCCTTTGAGATAGTGAAGGTTGGTGCCGACGGTACTGTCTCCTGTTCTGTCTCGCTTCGTGTCCACGTTGCGTTCTGCACCACCGTCCGCGGAACGCTGCAGAGCTGGTCTGGGACTAAGACAGTTCCTTGAACCAAAGCCTGCACACTCGGGTCATGAAGTTTAGGAGAGAACTATTTTTTACCGGTGGTCCCGATTCTAGTTCATGAGATCTGATGACGTTTCAAATGATCTCAGCAAATACTGATTGCGTTCCTATGATGTTTATTTGTTGTCTAGTTAATATAAAAATATTTTTTGAGCGTTTACTCTGTGCCAACGTTCTAAGTGCCAGTGATCAGGACAGAGACGCTGTCTAGTGGGGAAAGATGTAACATTCACAAATCGACAAAGTAAGAAGATCTCAAGTGTTGTTATGGAACCTAGCAGGTGGGGATGGGGGAAGGTTCGGGGAGTCACTTTTGATGGGACGTTCAGGCAAGGTGTCTCTGAGTAGGGGGCACTGGAAACAGGACTGGAATCAGCTGTGGGCACCTGGGGGGAAGGGTCATTCAAGACAAGCAGCTGAGGACAGGCCCCAGGGGAGCACCTGTACACAGGTAATGGGCAGGGGGCTGCGCCGGGCTGACGAGAGGAAGGAAGGGCCCCGCTAGGGTGGGTTTGTGGCTTTGGAAGTAGGGTCCACAGAGCTGGGACTGAATCTGGAGGATGCAAAAAAGAGAATTTTCAAGGTGACTCCCGAGGTCTTGGCTTGCCCAGACGAGCAAACGTGGGTGCCCCCGAGGTGAGGGGCCCCGAGGGGAAGCCGCGCCCGTGTGTGTGCATGGAGCCTGTTCCGTTCGAGGCGCTCGGTAGGCAGCTGAGTGGCTCGGGGACTGGGCTGTTCTGTCTCGGCGTGGGAGGCAGGTGGGTAAACAGAGAGTTTCCTTAGAATGTACTAAAGCACAGTGATAAACGGCAGCCCTGGGTGCTATGGAAACACGGCCCCCAGATGTGCATCCTGGCCCAGAGTGTCCGGGAGCCTGGCTTCCGAGCAGAGTCTGGGGGGGTGAGCAGCCCGTCAGGCAGGAGGCGGTGAGGGAGGGGGAGGTTGCTCCAGACGGAGAGGGGGGACTGGGAAGGGCTGAGCTGTGGGGCCCGTGTGTGGGCAGGGGACAGAGCTGTTCACGGTCCCTCGTGTGGCTGGACAGCGGGTGGGGTGGGAGGGGCTGAGTCTCGGGAGTCGGGGGCCGAACCAAATGTTCTCTCGATGCCCTTCCCGGACTGAGCTCCGTGACACTTTGACCCTACTTCCAAATGCATTTCAGGGACCTAGTAACTTCTGGGACATTTTTACACAGCCATCTATCCCGTGTGGGATTGGTAAAATATTGCTCATTTCCTCCCAGAAAGAGGCCTGGAACCCAAGGGGTTAAAAGGCCAGGGAGAAGAGATGGTTGTTGTTCACCTCGGCACAGCTGGGCTGCCATTGCCTGTCAGGTGACCCTCTTATTTATGCATCCGTCTGTGGATGCACTTCCTACATTTAGCCAAAGAATGAAGAATTATAGCTGTCAAACGAACGGTCGGATTTATGTCCAGAAGGCATCCCTGATGCACAGCACTCCTACCTAGAATAGCGTTAAAACCTGCTGCCCTGACACAAAGCTCCCAGAAATCCCTGAAGTTCTCTGTGGCCTTGAACTTTGCATAAGCAGATGTTTTGGCCATCTGGGCTTAAGTTAGGGAAGGCATGGGCATCCATGTGTTATTACTAACGAAGTCAGGTTATTCTCACTCTTCGCTGCTGCATAGGACTGTTACCCGGTGAGATTACGTGTCCTTAACCGTGGCCCGTTTTGCGTCTGCAGATGGAGTTCAACGAGAAGGAACTGCGGCGAGAAATAAGCTATGCAATCAAAAATATACACGGTATCAGGCAAGTGATGCGCCTGTTCCTGGTCTTCGGGCCCGGTCACTGAAGGAAGATGCATATTTATGAATGGCTGGTGGAGGAGCCTGTACCCCGTCTGAGCCGAGTGGGGTGCAGGGTGGGGGAAGAAGCAGGAAGTCCTCGTTTGGGGTCAGCGGTAATTGCCCATACCGTCACACTCGGTCTTCGTCAGTTAGAAAAACGGAAACCCTCCTGCACTCACGACACTGGGCTCCCAGGACCAGGACCCCGTGCTCCAGAGCCTTCCGTCTCTGGGCGGGGGTCTGGCGGGCCATCAGTCATCCCGACTCCCACAGGGACGGGACAGAGTGACCTCGGCCGGCCTCGTGGCGCCGGGTTGGGAACGGTTCATGAAGGTGGTAACTCTGGAGTTGAACCTTGTCTGTTTAGGGGACAAGAGCAATGTCAGCTGGCAGCGGTGTGCGGCGTGCCTTCATGTGTCTGTGTGTGTCTGTGTCTCTGTGTGTGCGTGTGTTAGGTGTGTGTCTCTGTGTGTGGAGTGTGTGTGTGTGTGTGTACAGGGTAGGGGCAATGCGATGAGACGTGAGAGGGTGGAGCGGGCCGGGGCTGGAGGGTGAGAGACGGGACGTACGAAAGGAGCCGTGTGAGCACAGGCGGAGGTGGCAGCTGCAGCCTATGTTTTCGGACCGGGGGGTCACGCACGCTGACTGCGGGCAGGAACATAGACAGGAGAGCAGAGGGCGTGAGTCTGGGAGTGGCCCTTGTGCCTGAGCTTACTTTTGTGTAAAGTGGTATTATAGATGTTTACTTCCTTTAAATAACTATGATAGGAGAAAAAGAATTTGAAACACACATTTCTTGAGCTCATTGCAGAAGCCTAAGTGAAGTGTGATGGGGTGCGTGTTCAGGTGAGGTGTCCTGAAGTCAGGGCGACAGGACTTAGGCTGCAGGCTTCACAGTTTTTCCCATAGGAGGAAGGCGCCCCCTGTCTGTTGGCAGCGGTATCCCCGCTTCAGCCGAGTGTGCTGCGTGTGTGTGCACTCTGCATACACGGGGCCAGGCGGCGACTCTCTGGGGCACTTGATGGTGACTGTGACCGTGATGAGTGATTTTCCAAAGGAGTCACGACATTGGAATTGGCTGTCATTTTAAAATGGAGACAACCTCCAGGGACACCTGTGTTCCCCAAGCGAGGAGGAGGGAACACCCACGAGCACACCCAGTGCCTCCAGGCCCTCTGAGCTCCCGGTCAGCTCCCGCCCCCTCCCCCCAATCCAGACTGCACCTGCCACAGAGCTGCGTCTTGCTCTTCAGCTGGGCAGGGCTAGCGTGTGACCCTGCCTATCGCATCACAGTTTGGGGGTCACAGAGCACTGGTACTCAGCCAAATACAGCACTGTCCTTGGCTTTCAAAGCTCCCCACGAGTTCATTTTTGTGGGCTGCTGCCAAAGCTCAGCGATTCAGTGCAGGTTTCCGATTTGCATGTCAACCAACAGGAGAGATCGGTTTTTGCTGTCCTGCGGTTGATTGGCCTGTAAGCTGACGACGATGTACGTAGGATACATCATCACATACTAATGACACACTTATTGAGACCCCAAAGGTCGCGTGTGGAAAGCGTGGCTCCCAGCTGCTTCTGTTGGATGTTTGCACAGCAGAAACCCTCCTCGCCCACTGAGGGCCCGACGGGCCCTTCGTTCTGCAAACACTGAGAACTGTCTTCTCCCAGGAGGGAGACGGTCCTGGGGGGACAGACACAGACAAGGGCGGTAGTCACATGTCCTGCCAGAGTGGTAACGGGACTGAAACACGCGCTCAGACCACTGCCATGAAACAGGGTGTGGGGGTCCGGAGGAGGGAGGCCTTGTCAGCTGCCGGCCCCTGCTGTAGGAAGTGGCGTTCTGAACCCTTTAGAGATAGAAGTGTCCGTCGGGGACCCCACTTCTGTTCCTGTCCTCTCCTCTCCTGCTGCCGTGCGGCTGAGGGGCGGGGCAAATTACGGTCAGTAAGGCCTAGTGGTGTGCCGTGTGGACATTCTGGGAACTAGTTGTAGGCCATGCTCATCATCTATAGAACAGAATTTATTATGGAATATATGTATTAAAGGTATCATTATACATGCCCCTGTGGCGAGAATGAGTCACACTGTAACGTTTAAACTAGGGTATTACAGGAATTTCTTCACGTGGCCTGTTGTCAATCAGAACACTTGCGGACCAGTCCTTACTTGGCGGCGCTCACGTCACGAACGTAACTCGGGCTCTTTCTCACGTGCAGGACAGGGCTGTTCACCCCAGACATGGCCTTTGAAGCTATAGTCAAAAAGCAGATCGTGAAGCTGAAAGGGCCTTCCTTGAAGAGCGTGGACCTGGTGATGCAGGAGCTGATCAACACCGTCAAGAAGTGCACCCGGAAGGTGAGCTCGAGTCCTGAACCTTCCGACCCGTCCCTGTCCGGTTCACCGGTCTTTCCTGTCCCCTGCCACACGCCTCCCGTTGCCCGGCCCCCTCCCCCACCTCGTTCCCGAAGGTGGTGGGTCTGCTCACGGGGAAGCTCTGGGAGAAGAACTGATTTCCTGATAGATGGCGTATTTTCTCCTCCCACCCCGACCTAAATAGTTGCTGAAGCAGGTACACGTCATGTTAGAGGAATTAGGTGAATGCCCTAAACTAATTTTTCTCCGGTGGGTAGATGGGGGTAATCATTAGGGGATGGGACTCGGTGATATTGTGTATGTTAGTATTGTGTCAGGAAATACTCCTAAGTTTACATGGATTGCACTTGACCCTGGACACCCTGGGGAGGGGCAGCGTGGTCTCGTCGTGGAGCTGAACCTCTGAAAGATCCAGCTGCCTCGGTTCCCATCCTGGCTCTGCGGCTTGCTCTGTGACCGTGTGCGTCACGCTTGACCCCTGGGCCCCTGTAACTTCTCCGTGAAATGGGGACGAGAGTGGCCATCCAGATGCTACTCCGGTGAGGATCAAACGAGGTGACGTCTGAAAACCACAGGGCCCCTCACCCACGGAGGGACCGTGGTAACTGCTCGGTGACTGGCGGCTGATCTGTCGATGGCCGTCACTCCCTCGTGACACCTGTTGAGTCTGTGACGTGGACTGCGGAGAGAGAGAGGCTTCCCGGTCTGGGGGCTCCTCACAGAGGACGTTGGCCGAAGTGTGCTGGCTGCCATCCATTCTGTGGGGACAGGAGAGGGGCACCCTGTGCTGGAAAAGGACGAGGGGAATCTGAGATGCTGTTCAGGGCGGGGCGGGGCAGGCCAGCCTCGTGACAGGCACCTGTGGTCCCCTGATCACTTCGTGACGGTGCCATATGTTCTGGTTTGTTCGTCCCGTCCCCCTTTCTGTGTGGCCCCGTGAGCAACCCCTCTGAAAACCCAGTGGGAAGCCAGTGGAAGAATGAGAGACAGAGATCATGAATGAACGTGAATTTTGGTCGCCTGGTCCTGGCGGAACAACTCAGATGGAGAAAAATGGAAGTGGTGCCAGAGGAAAGCAGTGGGAGTCCTCAATGTCAGGGCAAAAAAAAAAAAAAAAAAAAGCCCAGGCTTCCTGCTCCGTGGCCAGCTCGGGGCGCAGAAGCGGCTCAGCGGTGGTGGACCCCTCCCAAGGCCTCTCGCGTTCTGTCACCACGCTCCTTGAGGTCCCAGCCTCTGCTCTCCAGAGTGGGGAACGCCACAGACATTACGGGGCTGAGGAAGGGGAAGAGAGGGAGGTGAAAAGCACCATTTATTCCACTTGGAAACCTGAAGCCAGTTGATAAATAGTACTTCCCATCCCCTGCCCTTGCCTGTGCCTTGAAACGCACTCCGTCTTGTCATCCGTCCAGTGCGCACTCCCCCTCGCTAATGCAGAGAATGAACCGATGCTGCCTTCCTCGGTAGCCCGCGGCCCGCCTGCCTGAGCGGGCAGAGGTCCTCAGCCAGGGGCCCCTCCCCCTCCCAGTGGCCCAGGCAGCCCCACCCCACCCGCTGAGCTGTCCTCTTCCCCAGGGCCCGTGGTGTTGCCTCTGTCCTCCAGCCTGTTAGCCAGCTGTAGGTCCTATCTTACCTCTGTAGTCTGAGTGAAGAGTGGCTCCGGTGATCCAGTGCAGAGAAGACTGAGCTTTGTGTCTGTGAAAACCCAGCTCCAGAAAGACTGGGTCAGCTCCGTAAGCTCCGCCATGGACTAGGTCTAGGCGGGGCAGTGCTGAGAGACGTGGGGGAGTCGCACCAGCCTAGACGGGCTCTGCGTTCAGCCTGTCCACCCCCGCCCCTCCCCGCCCACTGCAAGGAAGGCGACCTGGAAACTGTAGGCGAAGGTCGAGGTTCATGGGAGACAGAGAGGCAGAGCTCCAGTCAGCAGACCCGGAGGCTGGGACCAGGCCTTGGCCTCACGTCAGGAGTCTGGCAGCTGTGTGCACCCCATCCGTGTTTTGAGTGATGTAAAGTGTTCATGGTGTGTATGAATCACTTTGTAATCATTTCCCATTGCACCCAACTTACCGGAAAACCGACAGTCAGCCCTGACGGCAGGGGAGGAGACAGCCCGTCCCGGACCCTCGGCACCTGTCCTTTGCTCCCCACCCTGTGAGCGGCCCTGCCCTCGGCACTCTCGGACTGATGGTGCTCGTACAGTTGCACCGCCTTCTCAAAACGCTTTCTAGTTTGCCTTAGACAAGACTTAGCTTTCTCTCTGAGATGACTGTTCACCCCGCCGCCCTCCTCGCTGCAGAGCGCTCGTTGGCCCAGACCCAAGGATCTAGGGCCAAGACCCTTTGTCATTTGTCTGCTTTTCCTCTGGTGGCTTGCGTGCATTACGTCTCCCCTTTCCTGTAAAAAGTCTTCCGTAAGGTCTTCTTCCAACCTACCCGTCTCCTCCTGCTTCTGTTTTCTTTCCTGACCTTTGTTATCAGTCTGTGTCCAATCAGAAGAGAGAAACCACACAGCAATTTGCATGGGGAACGTCGCTATAAAAAAGCATTGGCCACCACGGGATTCGCGTCACGAGGGGCTGGCTGGAAGGGAAGAGAACTATGGAATACAGGGGTAGTGGCTAGGAGGCTGCTGGGCCCCTTAGGGGGCACTCAGGGAAGAGGACCCTGCCCAGGGCCAAGTGCCAGACCACAGATGTGTCTCACCGAGTGGCAGAAAAGTGGCTTAGTGTTGTGCTGGCAGAACTTGCTGGAAACTAGCTCTCCACAGCATGCTGGGAGGAAAGCCCCCACGGGAGGTGTCTCAGTGGAGGCGCTTTGCTTCGAGACTGTCCCAGGTGGGACAGGGGTGCCAGGGCGCGGGGAGCTGCAGGAGCCTGCCCACGCCTGCCCCGCCAGCACACCTGAACCAACGCTTTTCCTCCTTCTGGCTGGCTCTCCCCAGGCGTAGCGCTCTCCTAGCAAAGCTTCACACCGCCCGAGGAGCAGGGGGAACCTTTCAAGGGCCCAGAGCTTTCTTCACAGCAGGCCAGGGAGGTGGCCCTTGGAGCCGAGGGGCCTAGTTTGACAGGCCGCACACCGACCTGCACCTTTGTGGTCTGTCACTTCAGTTCCGCCGGGGTTAACTTCGCCGCCCGTTGGACACCGGGGCTGGTCAGGTGTACCGGTTGTCTTTGCCTCCCTCCCCCCCAGGCTGCTGAAGGGCGTGGGGAGAACCGTCCATCCGTGTCGCCACCGTAGAGCCATTGTCCCCAGCATGTCACTAGTGGCTTCCCGTGGTCTCCACAACGGCCACGTTAAACCTCGAGCACTCTCGCAAAGCCACTTTGTTCGTGGCTTTCGCCCTCATTTTCAGTAATGATTTTGCAGAGGAAATAGGGCCACGAACTCGAACTTCAGTTTCCTGCCCTCGCAGCCCCCACACGGGCCGGTGTCGCCTGCCACGGCCGCACCTCTCTGTCTCAGTGGCCGCGGTACCCTGACCGGGCTGGGCTCCGGCCTGGACTCCCACCTCCCAGGAACTTACTTTCTGATTCTTCTGTTTCCTCGTTACCACCTTCTCCATCGCATTAAAACATGAGTATAAGTATACGCGTGTGTCTTCTAACTTAAAAGCAATAACACATAACAAAAACCCACCTCCTGCCCTATTCCTCTCCTTGATGGGTAGCCTTTTCGGGAGAAGAAGTAGTTTATACTTGCTCTCTTATTCTTTCACGTCCAGTTAATTCTTCCACCATCTGAAATTTAACATCCACCCTCCCGCCCCTCTGCTGAAATAACTACGGGGCGCTCAGCCAGCGGCCCGATACCCCGATCTCATTAACAGACACTCTTGTTCCTGTGTACAGTGATGGACACTGTTCCACGGTCCTCTGACCCCTCCACGGTCCTCTCCCATCCCCCCTGAGAGTGTACCCACCCGCACCTGCCTCTGCCCCCTGGAGTCCTGCAGGGGCAGGGCTGGCTCCTGGTTTTCTTCTCCCGCCACTGACCCTGGTCCCGGCAGCCCATGTCTCCCGTGGTCCAGCGGCCACTTCACCTGTTCCCCGTTCCCAACCCCGCACTTCACCTCGAGCCTCCTTCTCCTTCCCGAAACCGTCTTCTCGACGGTCTGCTGCAGCGACTCTCTGTTCTGAGGTGTTTTTTTCTTAAACTCGGTGAGTCCACTGGCCTCCCCACCGATCCTTGGACCTGCAGTGTGGCCATCCTCAAACTCCTCCTCCCACCGCCGTTGGAGGGGCCCTTCGACAACACAGACACGTTGCCTGCTGCCTCACAATCGCTCCGCGGCCCCTCGCATCGTGAGGAAGTCCGATTCCGTCGCTGTGGTCGTGGGTAGCCACACTCTCTGGTCTCGCAACACTCCCGCAGCCGCATCCGTCGTCCCTGGCCGCTTGCTCCGGCCGGCCCACGTGGCTTGCACCGTGCGGACGTGCTCCTCGGCCCTTAGCCTTGCCCGTGCGGTCCTCTGGGTTTAGAAGGTCCCCCCATCGCTCCGGTCTTCGCCTGCCATCTCCTCTGGTTTTTACAACCCCACGCAAGCATCGTCTTTTCCCAGGAAATCTGGCGGTGGGGCGTCTGTGCGTCCTCCCCGGGACTGTCCTCACTCACTTCTTAGGACTCGTGTTGGCGCCGGGCGTTGACCCCGTCCCAGCACGTGTGATGCTCCGTTGCGACTCGTGTGCTGTTTGTTTGTGAGGGGGGACACCTCTTCTTGCTGATGATAAGCTCCTTTAATTTTTCAGTTTTACAAATTTTTATTGAATTTATTGGGGTGACATGGGTTAACAAAAGTGTACAGGCATCAGGTGTACAACCCCACAACACATCATCTGTGTACTGTTCCGCGTGTCCACCACCCGAGGCAAGTCTCCTCCTGTCACTGTGTATCCCCCTTTCCCCTCTCCTACCTCCCTCCCCCCTTTCTGTCTGGTCATCACCATACTGTTTCCTTGTTTCTATGAGGGTTTTTAAAAAAAGATTTTATGTATTTTAGGGAGAGGGGAAAGAGGGAAGAAAGAGAGGGAGAGAAACATCAATGTGTGAGAGGAACAATTGATCAGTTGCCTCTCGCCCATGCCCCAACCCAGGGACCAGCCTGCAACCCAGGCACACACGTACCCTGACTGGGAATCGAACCGGTGACCTTTTGCTTTGTGGGCTGATGCCACCCTGGCCAGGGCTGCTTTTTTTTAATAAGTACCTTTTTGAAAAGAGCTGTGTATTTTATCTTATCTCTGGCACCTACTTCAACGACCCACCCTACCTAAGAGGCCTTCCACAACTACCCATTAACCATTTAGATGTTCACAAGAGAACCCAATGCTGAAGACATCTGTACTTGATTTTTAAAGAATATTTTCATCCTTCTTTTGAAGTTGAAAATCGGACAGGTTTTCTTTCAAATACCTATGTATCCTTCTTCCTTATTCCTCATTTGGATATTCTTGTTTTTGACCTTATATTTATTTTCAAGTTCTTTTACTTCAAAACTGGTCAATTAAAATCTTTGGCAAAACAAAACAATTCTAATTAGAGTTGAGTATGCCACGACTTTATTACTTGGTTCCTTTGAACATGAGCCATGTGCTAGGCGACCCTGGAACTTACCATCCGATGCAGGAGCGTTCTGGAATTGAGAGGGAGCTAGCAGTCCTTTCCCCGGAGCCACAGGTGAACCAGGACGGCCCCCGGCGATCCTGTGTCTGGTTCGCTCCAGCTGCGTGGTGACTGACCGTACGCATCAGACTCACAGCAGTATTTTCATGTTCGCTTCCTCATGTTGCACGTCTTACATGCAAAAGGTTTAATTTCTTTTTCTTAAGCCACGTAAACAAACATCAGTGAAAAACGTGGGATGTGTGTGTGTTTATTCACAAACACGGAGCTGGACTTCCAGTGTGGGGGCTGCGCTTCCTCCGGGCTGCTTCTCACTGTTGTCTCAGGGGGGCAAAGGGGCAGCCCGGGGACCCTGGAGCTCTGGGAGCCGCTGGCTTCCCTCCGGGGACATCTCTACTCTGGGCATTGGCCCCCAGCCGCTGTTCTCCCTCCCGGGCTCTGCAGCACCACTGCAGGGCGCTGAGGTTCTTCGCAGGATGCACCGGGAGGAACACCTTGTGTTTTCAACCAGCTTAGCAACGGTGCCATTCACTGGCCTCTTGGGAAATGCCGTTCTTGCATCTCCACCATACCAATTGATTGATTTTCTCCCCTTGATTATAAAAAAGAAAAGCTTTGCAAGAAAGTTATAAAAAAGAAAGATACCTCCGTTGACTGTTAGAAATACAGGGAAAGATTTTCCATGAAGAAGGGCTGTTGGAAGGGATGCTGCGTTTTGTGGCCCATTAGGTAAGTAAAGGTGTGGCCAGAATGCACTTAGCTGTACCCATGCCTCTGAAGCCCTGGCCTTGCAGGCCTCCACCATCTCCCCGCTTCTGCTCCGCACTCCTCCCAGGCCCCTCCCCGCCGTCCACACCCGGCTGCTCGTTCCTTCAACAGGGCGGGGCATGCAGTGGCAGGGCCATTGCATTGCACTTCTCCTTCCCCAGGTGGGGGGCGCTCCCCCTCCCAACGGCTGCAGGGGTCACGGCTGCAGGGGTCACGGCTGCAGGGGTCACACACACACTCACCTCTCTTCATCTACCAACCGAACTTTGTTTTTCTTTGTGGCACACGTGAGCACATGGATTGTACAATATGTGTCTGTTGCAGTCGTAGTTGGTGGTGATGGTGGTGCTGGGGGAGGGGAAACATGCAGGGACGTGGGAACGGAAGCTCCCTGAGAGCGGGGACTTGGCTTGTTACCCTCGCCACTCTGTCCCAGCCCCTCGGGTGGCCTGGTTTTCAGCAGCAATTGTTGAATGACTAGTCGAGAGAATGAGCGTTCAATGTGGCAGAAGCAGCCCCCTGGGTGACTTGCCGTGAGCGTCTGTGGGAGGAAGGAGAACAGTCACCCAGCACCCTGCTTAGGTGGGGTTTTCCCTCCCGTCCGGGTAGATCCACTGCGGTTTTGACTCCGCACAAAAAGACGGGCGCCTCGCCGCCTCCGACAGCGGCCGAGGCGAACGGACTCTGGCGTGCCGTGTGCCCGGCAGGCGCCCCGCGTCACAGGGCACGGTGCTCGGGTCCCAGTCGGGCTGATCATCACAGTGCAGACATTTTTTCTGGGCACGTTACAGGAAGTTCAAGCCTGGGAGCTGGCTTTTAAGGGATGGAAATACCACCTTTTTGTTGTTGGTGTTACCTGTGTTTAAACCCTTTTTAAAAACAGAATCGACCTACGTCATTGTATCAGGTGTTTTAGATGTTCAACATCATAATGATTCAGGATTTGTACACACGATGCCATGGTCACCCCAATAGGCCTGGTTAAGATCATTACCACACGTAGTTACAAAAATTGTTTTCTTGAGTTGAGAAATGTTAGGATCTACTCTCTTAGCCACTTTATATATACCATACGGTCTTATTAACTAGAGCCGTCATGGTGTGTATTACATGCCCAGCGTTTGTTTACTTTGTAACGGGAAGCTTGTACCCTTGACTCCCCCCGGCCACTATGCCCACCCCAACCGGTCCCGGCCTCTGATGAACCACCTATCTCTGCTCTGGACCTGTGAGCTTGGATTTTTCTGTTTGCTTGTTCTTGGTTTATAGATTCCATGTATAAGTAAGAGCGCATGGTATTTGTCCTTCCCTGTCTGACTCGTTTCACTTAACACAGTGTCTTCAGGGCCATCCATGTGGCGGAAAAGGGCAAGGCTTCCTTCCTTTTTAATGGCTGCATAATATTCCAGTCATCTGATCTTTTATTGTCACAAGTCATTAAAGCATTTATGAGTTTTCTAATTAATTCCTAATTTATAATTTACCTTGGCCTCTGCTTTTCCTCTTCCTGTTTTGTGTTTTCTCTTCAACCACTCATCAGTACGCCCCCCAGGGGTGAGCTTGGAGAGAGAGGAAAAGCTGGCGTTACCTTCAGCTGTTGGGTTGACACAGTGGCAACCCTGCCCTGAGCTCCTGCTCGGGCGTTTTCTGAATCATGCGCCGAGGTCGTGTCTCTTCTGACCACCTTCTAGTTTTACTTCACCCGAGACTGAGCTTTCTGGTTTTATTCCTCTGCCTTCGCCGCATCACACCGGAGCTGTCATTTCTCGGCTTAAAGCAGTGGTCTGTGAGGTACAGGATGGACGTGTGTACCAACAAGCCGTGCGTCGCTCGGTTGTTGACGAGCCCTCCCACACTCGTCATTCCTCTCGCCAGCTGTCGAGAGTGTTTGCGCTGCAGGGGCTCTGGGACTCGTCCGCTGGGCGCGGGAGGGCTCACAGGACTCCTCCTCTGCGATCGTCCGACCCGAGTCCGCCTGGGTGGGGCCTGGCTTCCTCCTCCATTGTCCGCTGCCCTCAGGACGTCTGAGGCTTCCGTGCGCCGCTCCTGAAATGGGCAACACCCGATACAGCGTCTCCCCGCCTACCCTGGTGCGGTTCCTCCAGCACCTTTATCTTCGATCCCCCTTGTAGGTGCTTCCGGTTTTCCTTTTTAAAAAGATAACAAGCGTGTCGCGCCCCGCCAAGCGCTTTTTTCATGCCCCGAGTAAACACAACATCGCATTATATACAACTAAAGGACTGTCAGGAATTTGGGGGCAGGTTCAAATTCACAGAAATGGAATAAAGTTATTGTATGCTTTTAGGAGCAGTACAATCATGATTGCTACTCAGTTTGTAGAGAGTGGCCAACATTACAAGGTTTATGGTTTTTTGATCAGAACAGAGCCCGTATCTGTGGTTCAGTCAAGCCATGAAAGCCATCAGCCCAAATCCTGGGCACAAAAAGCGTTTTGCCCTGGTTGCCCTTTGTTTTCCCGGCCTGTTTGCTGCGGAGCTGCGAGCCGATGACCACCCAGGGCCCCGGGCCTCTGCCTAAGGCAACGTGTGGGGGTCTCGCTGGTCTCTCTCGTGCCTGTTCCAGGAGAAACCTAACAGCGCGACTGCCGTAATCTGATTAATCAATGGCTAATAAATTTGATACGTGTGTAATTTTTATTTTATTGGATAGAAGTATCTCTCAAGTGATTTATTTTTTCCCTCTAGGAAATAAGTGGCTCATGCTTAAAATTAATTGTTTTTAAAGATTTTATTTGTTTGTTTTTAGAGAGGGAAGGGAGGGAGAAAGAGAGAGACAGAGAGAGAAACATCAATGTGTGGTTGCTGGGGGTCATGGCCTGCAACTCAGGCATGTGCCCTGACTGGGAATCAAACCTGCAATGCCTGGTTCGCAGCCCATGCTCAATCCAGTGAACTACGCCAGCCAGGGCTTTTTCTGGCCTCTTTGGAGGTACGTCGCCTGCTGGTTCCAGGTTTCCTCGGACTTCAGCTCATGGAGCCTCTCCTCCCACCCGCTGTTCTCCGGAACGCCCGCTCCGGCCTGCGGCGGAATTGTCACGCGTACCTTCTGTGGAGCGTCGTCCTTCGCCTCTGCCCCTTGCAGTGGTCACACTCGGGTCTGTTTCTCCCAACAGCTGGCGAACTTCCCCCGACTCTGCGAGGAGACGGAGAGGATCGTGGCGAACCACATCCGCGAGCGGGAAGGGAAGACCAAGGACCAGGTGAGGACAGGCACCCCCCGGGCGGCCTGGTGGTCTGCGGCTCTCGGCCGTCCCCGGGGGGGAAAGAAGGGGTATACGTGTCATCCGTGGGTTGCTATAGTAACATCTCGGGTATGTTAAGACTGTAGACAACTACAAAGACTTGGGGAGGATGTGATTTAAAACGCAGTTGAGGGAGTTCCGTTATCTTTCCTCGGCGCCCCATCGATCCTCATGGGTACCCCTGGCATGTACTCAGTCCGCTTTGAAAACCACTAACCCAGAAACACGGTGCATTGTTTCTTTAAGACAGGGTTTTAAAAAGACTTCTAATGGGACCACGGGTGGGTGCCAGGGAGTCCCAAACTCCGGACATCTCAGGCAACGTGTGCAGCAGCGTTCTGATTTTCTGAGGACGACGGGCAAAGCCGTTCACCAGCTGACCCAGGAACCTTTCACTGAAAAAGAAAAACCATTAAAAGCAGCTCTTTTGCACGTGGCTAACTGTTTTGTAAAAGTAAACGGTTCGTAAGGAGTAACCTTGAAATGACCTTCCAATCCTCTGTGAGTCTAAAAGGTTGTTTTCAAGGGCAGGTGACTCGCCAAAAACAGTGAGGGGCCACGGGGAGGCAGACCCTTGCCAACGCGGGTGGGTTTTCTCTCAGCTGTCTGTAGGACACCCCGTGGGGAGGGGGAGGGTTTGCGGGTGCTCTGCGTGCCAGGACACAGCCGTCAGTGCGACAGCGGGGAGGGGACGCCGCCCTCGGGCCGTACGCCCTCCACAGCCACAGCACGTCCTGGCCGGTCACTCTCGGACTGGCCTTTTCTCGTGTGTGACACTGGCATGCTGGTCTGGGTGGGCATCTCTGAAGTCCCCTAGAGGTTAGGATTCGAGGTTCCGTGGTGCTCGGGTGACTGGGAGAGGAGGAGAGAGAGGACGGGACAGAGGGGGAAGGCGGAGTGGGAGCGAGAGGCGGACAGAGCACGGGGAGGGACAGGCACGGCAGCTGAGGGTGGGGTGGGGGGACCAGGTGGAGGGCCCCACCTGCTGCGGTGTCACTGGGGGGCTCCAGTGGCAGCCTGCTGCCTGCCTGGGCCACGGGGTCCGTGCCCCTCCTCTTCATCCTCGTGCTTCGAGAGTCTGTGAGCCATTCTTCATCATTTCCATGTGTCTTCCAACTTGCACGCCCCTGGAGAGCCGCAGGTGGGGGAGCAGGGGCAAACACATCAGTGTTAACTCACGCGCGAGTGCAGTCGAGCCTCGGGTCACGACGTACGTGAGTGACCCTGAGGCCTGGAGTCCCCACGTGGAACGTCAGGGCTGCGGCTGGACCACGGAAACGTGCCTTCCCGTGTCAGCTGCCCTCCTGACCTTAAGTACAGAAGGTAACCCCTTTAGTGTAGCGCCTTTATGCTAGAAAACTTGAATGGGGATAATATCCTACTTAGCTCTTCCCTAAGAAATCGATATTGAGGGCAAAGTAGTATCATTATCTTTGTGTTCCTACCTAAGTGAGTTGTTAAGGTCTCCGTGTTTCACGGCATCCTCGTTAGGATTGTGGGCTCCCGGTCCCGATGGCCTGAGTTCGAATCCAGCTGCCCATTTACCGTCTGTGTAAACGAACAAGCCAGTCGGCACCTTCACACGGCAGCTGCCTCGTCTTCAAGGGGGATCACGGTGGTAGCTGACCCGCAGGCACTGGGCGAGGATGGGAGGGAGGGACCCAAGCCCGGCGCTAGTGCGCCCCCCGTTTCGGTGGTTTTCCCCAGAGTGCCACGGCACACGGGAGGTGTGAGGAAGCATTCCCTTCCCAGTTCGCGGGGAGTGGTCTTCCACCTGCAACTCTGGTGCGCCGATGCAGGAACTCCCCGGGAGGGAGCCAGGAGGTGGGGCGGGGGTGTCCCCCCAAGTGACCAGGCCTGCGGGCCCCAGGAGGCTGGTCCTCGCCACCTCCCGCACGGACCCGTGTGGCCGAGGGGACACGTCCCTCGGCCCAGCTGTCGTGTCTGGGTTCTGAGCTCTGTCCTCTGGGCCCCTGGGGTCCCACGCTGCTCCTGAAGTCGCTGGCCGGCGTGACCGCTGTCCTCAGGCCTCTGTGCCAGAGCTGTTGGAGGTGTTTTGGCAGGGTTTTCTTTTTTTAAAAAAAAAATGCGATTATTACCAACTTCTGCTCTGGAAGTTTTGTGGGAAGAAAAATTACTCAAAAATTAAAAATATGGAAGCCCATAAATCTGTCTGTGATTTTTTTTTTCCCGGAAACAAAGGTCTTTTGAGTGTGCGTGCGTGCCGGCGCGCGTGCCAGGCGCTCCCACACACGCAGCGGCGGCCGCCGCGGTCGGCTCCGTGGGCGAGGGCGGCGGCCGGGGGCGGCTCTGCGCCTCCTCCGCCCAACGGTCGTAGCTGCGGGCGGAAAAGGCAGGGGGCTGATGCTGGGAAAGGGAAAAAATGAGGAAAAAATGCGCTCTTTCCCTTTTCATCCCCCATATGTGAGTTGGCTCTCTTCCTGGGATGGACACAGACTCCCAGTTTCCAGGAATCGGAACGGGAACAGCCACGGTGGTTCTGTTTTCCTGCGCTGCGGGCCAAGCCCACGGGCGGGAGCGTCCAAGGCGTTCGGGACGGCTCTTGGCGAGGCTGAGGATTATGTAGATGTTTTGCTCTTTGCAGTGGGAACAATTTTCTTGGGCTGCAGTGTTACGGCTTATTCATGCAGACTCCCGGCCAAGGTGGCTCTGGGAGTTTAATGTTGAACAGAATCTGGCTTTGTTATCGGGGGAACCGAGAGACGGCCACGGACGATCCCATAACAATGGCTCTTCTTGACGCTTCCATTTTCTTCATTAGAAGACGAGAAGCAAAACTGGGTCTCAGGCAGGGAAACGTCTTCCTGCAGAGGGGACGTTATTGGCCCAATGGTGCCCGTGCCTCGACTTTGTGTTTGGTGGTGAGGGTGGTTTCGGGGCGGGGGGGCTCCTTTTGCTCTTCTTTGGCAGGTCCTCTTGGGACTCAGAGCAAGATTTGGTGGGGTGGCCAGCCGGATCCCCTCAAAAGCAGAGCCGCAGAGCCCGCAGCACTGGGTGGGGAGTGAGAAACAGCAGGCCTCCTACTAATAACACGGGGATAAGTCTTGCCTGGGAAAACCAGCTGCTGTTCAGAGCTGGGAGACAGGAGCTTCAAATTTGCGGCCACAGGTGTTTCTGGGACACCTGCTGTGTGTGTTGTGCTGGGTTCTGGGAACAACGTGGGGGACGAGACAAAGGGAACCCCTGGCTCCACGAGGCCGGCCGTCCTGCGGGGTGGGGGGAGGCAGGACAGCAAACAGAGTAGACAGGTGATTGATTGTATTGGTGATAAACACGGCAAATACAAAGGACAACGTGCAATATGTGTCAAATATGGCCTATGGGCTCCATGAGTCATACCATGAGCCAGTGTGGTGTGGGTGCGGGTGAGGGTGTGGGGTGAGGGTCTCAGCAGAGTCTCCCTAAGGAAGTGCCCACGGCGGAGCGACACGTGGACCCAGCCAGCGGACTGTTCGCACGAGTGCCGAGACACGCTTCCGTGTCGCCCGCAGGGTTGGGGGGGGCGTGACGACGTGTGGCCATTAAAAGCTCAGCCAACAATGCTGAGGTGCAGAGCTCTGGGGGTACACAGGCAGGGAGTCTCAGGTAGCTCCCCCCCACCCCCCGTCAACAGGTCTCAGCTCTGTCGAAAGACAGGGGTCCCTGTGGGGAGGGCAGAGGAGACTTGGGAAGGGGCAGCCGTTCTGAGCGACTCCGGGAGAAAGCCCTGTTTCTCTCGGTCTCCGGTCGCCCCACAGTCCTCTGGTTCCGTCTCCTTGTCTGCCAGCGGCGACTCTTCTCCGCGGGAGGGCCTTGCAGGTCTCAGACTCGGAGTGTGTGTGTGTCTCGTGATCGGCGCCCGTTCACGTTGACTGGGACACGTGCGCAGTTCACGCCTTGACAGATCCTGGTCGGAGTCACGCGGCGCCCCACCCAGGCTCCGTTCGAGGCCCTGGGACGTGGTGGCAGCTGCAGCCGGTGGCGCCCCTATCACCGACTGATAAAAAGCACGGCATCAGCCACGAAGGAAAGGAAGTTAGGGTCACAGCACTGAGGACGAGAAGGGTGCTACCCGAGGCAGAACGTGCAGGGAGGGTCCCCTGAGGGGGCGGCCTTTCAGCAGAAAACGGCCAGCACTTTCGCTCTGATAATGAAGCGTCACTCGCCTCAGGAAGGCCGGCCGTTGACTTGCAGATTGCCCCTGGGAGTCGGTCAGTGAGATGCGCTCTGGCTGCCTAGAGGGACCTTAACGAGGCGGAAAGGGGAGGGAAAAACCAGGGGACGCAGCTGCTGTTTCGTGGCCCATGGGTGGTGCCCCCGCTGGCCTTCTGGCCGCGTGTCCTGCTTTCGAACATCGTGCCTGCGTTTCAGAGGAACAGAGTAATTCTAGCTTCTGAGTGTAGCTGGCCAAGAGCACGTGCCCGGCAACTGGAACACTGTTCATTGTCTTCTTGCAGGAATCAGACTTCTCCCGTAGATGTTCTGTCTCCCAATTTAGAGGCAAAACTAGGAGTCTCATGAAAAACAAAAACGAACAAAACGAACGCACCTTTTCATTCTACCTGAAGCCTCCTTTAAAACCTCCGTGGAGGTGACTTGCAGGCAGGTGCTCACTTGCGTGTCTGCGCGTATTGAAGGCTTCACCGGGCTGTGTGTCTCTCTGCCTCACAGGTGCTGCTGCTGATCGACATCCAGGTCTCCTACATCAACACCAACCACGAGGATTTCATCGGCTTCGCCAAGTAGGTGAAACGCTCGATTGCCTGCCTCGCGCTCCTTCCCCGCCCCCACCCCCGCCCCCTGGCTGCTTTGTCTAGAACACACACCGTGCACGTCCGCAGCCCCCCGCCCCGCCCCCTGCGAGGGCCTTCTGGGCCAAGGTTAACTCTGAGCTGACCCGTTGAGGAGGCGGTCATGGCCGTGGGGCCACGCTCCCCCCAGAGAGCTGTCGGCTCCCGGGTTGTGCAGCCTGTGAAGTCACATGGGTCTCCGATCCTCCTTGTTTTTGGATGACGGTCTGCAGTTTGTACTTGAACTCCCATAGATAAGCAGTAACAGATGCACGTTTCCAATGTGTTTGGGAACAGTTTCCCACAGAAACTTGAAACAGCAAGTGCAGTTCACGGGATACATTCCCGACTTAGAACACAGAGGCCTATTTTTAAAAAAAATCCTTGGTGAACTTCAGTGTGATCTTTTGGGGTGAACATTCTCTTTTCTATAATTTATATCTTGGATAAGCTTGTCTGCACTTGCTATTGTATCAAAAGTGCATTTTGTTATTTTCTACTATTCTGGCAGTACGTTCCCAGATATCACTAGGTGGACATTACATTTAGTTATGCGTGTTCACTTGTGGCATTCTCGGGACCCCAAGTTCACCTTTCTTCCTGCCCTGGAGCACAAGCAGTTTTTGTTTGCTTCTCAGGAGTTTTGATTCTAACTCTGAAGTATATTTGCGGCATGCAGGTGCTGCCAGCTTCCGGTATGGGAAACACGGTCTCCCTAGATAAAACCAGAGCAGGGTCCCCGTGTCCTGTGTCACTCGATGGGGTATTCAAGAACAGGAACGAAAGAAAAACGAAACACGACCGAGCGTAGAACCAACGCGTGACGGACGGACTTGGGAGAAGCTGGACGTAAACCGTGTGACCCAAACCCAGCAGCAGCCTGAGGAGCCAACAGGCGGGCGTGAGGGAGGGAGGGAGGGAGGGAAGGCCGGTGACGCCACGGGCAAGGGTCTCCGGGCTGCAGATCTGGCTGGCGCGGTGACGGCCTCCCACTGCCGCCTGCAGATTCGGACGCCGGGGGCAGCGGACGGGTTTCCGCTCTGCCGTCTCTGGTCTGGGGCTGATGGGCAATGTTGCTGGAACGCGGTGTCGAGGGCATCCCTGGGCTCCGCTGCATCTCCAGCCACACCGTCCGCTCTGGCTCCTAGGCCAGCGTTGGCTCCGCAGGCATTTCACGCAGGCCCACGCCCTCCCGGTAGCTCCCGCGGGCCCCTCCATCCGCACTGCTCATTTCCTCCCATCCACCAGCGGGGGGAAACCCGGACTCCCAGGGGCCTCCTGGTCCCTGGGCTCGGAAGGGGGACCCGAGAGCTTCTGCCTGGTTTCCGGCACCGTCCGGGACCTCTGCGTGGCCCGTGCCACGCTCTGCTCTTGTGGGGAAAATACAAGAAGAAAGAAAGAAAGAAAAAAATCATTTTTGCCTTTTAGGAGTTTGCCTAGTAATTGAAAAACGCAGAGAAACACACGTGGCGTTGTAAGTTGACACAGTCTTCACTCCCTTCACTCGCTTCCTTGAGGAATTTCAAAGGCACACGGATCCTTGAGTCGTTTTAGAGAACAGGGACGCTGCCTGTAACCGTGATTTTCACCGATGCAGATGGCAGGTAGAGGCAGACGCAGACTCCACGCCGTAACCTGGAAGGGCGTTGCCGGGCTGCCCCAGGGAGGTCCCCCGGGCCACGCAGAGACCGTGGGAAGAGCGCGAGCAGTTTGGGGAAGTTCAAGTTTCGGACATGTGTTGTGACCAGTGTTACAGCTTAAATTTCACCCTAGACTCTGCTTGAAACGCTTTTCCCCTTGGTTATCGTTTTATTTCTTTTTAAGGGTAAGTGACCCAGTTTACTTTCCCCAGCAAATCCCAACAGTTTCTGCCTCAGAAGCGGCCGGGCCGCGGCATCGCACTGACGGGGTTTTCGAAGGCCTGCAACGTGGCAAGTGGACACGTTTTCCAGCGCAGCCTTCGGCCCCTCCCTGTCATCCAGGGGGCCGCCCGGCGCCCCCTCCCCGAGGCAGACTGGGAGCGGTCACGATACTGGGGGAGAAAGAGCAGCATTGTCCAAACCGCGTCAGAACCCCAGCACATTTCACGTCGAGGAGGGTCTGTGCACCTGGACTTCCTCTGGAAGGTCAGGTCTGGGGGTCGGAGGTCAGATGAGTGTTCCGGGGTTTGCATGGACGGGCCTTGGGCGTCGGCACGTCGCTCAGCCTGTCTGCGGCTCAGTCTGCGGCTCTGCCACACGCAATAATAAATAGTCTCCGACTGTGTACCTTTCAGGGCTGTTGGGAGGTCCCGTCAGTGACATGAATCTGCTTTTGAGATCTGTAGTGAAGTGTGTAAAGTGAGAAAGTGCCACACGTGCTCACACACATTCACACATACAGGCACACTCACAGGCACACTCACAGGCATGCTCACACAGAGACACACACTCACAAAGACACATGTGCACACTCATACAGACACAGAGGAGTTTGCTTACTAGATGCACCATTTTCCTTTGTTATGGAATTTGCAATGGTTGGAGTGTGACTGACACGAGGATGTTTTTGGACGTCAGTGTCACCTCCAAACGTGACGTTTTGCACTGAGACTCGGAGGTGGATGGTCTTCCCGTGTGCACGCCGGGTCGGAGCACGTTTCAGAGTGGTGTGGGACAACCAGGAAGATGAAGAGAAGTTCGTTTCAAAATTAGTTTGAGGTGTTGTGGTGTTTTATTTTTGTACTTTTAAAAATTAAAAAAAAACAGCTATAAATTTTAAAGTTGGCAGGAATGCTGTTTCCATCTGTGGAAAAGTCCAGCCATATTTGAAGAGAAGTATGTGAGTATTTTTAAGCTCCAGAGATAGAAAATCGAGGTCTCGAGTTGAGGAAAATAAGAATTTCTTTCATGAGGTTTTTAGAAAATTGTCAAAAGAGGGGGACCACTTCCCAAGTTCATAGAATTATGACATACACAGCATTTCACCCAAGTATTTTTTCCAACTGGGATGGCTTGTAGTCTAAAAACTTTAAAAAAGGAAAACTAAGTGCTAAATGTAGATTAATGGAACATGAATTCTCAGAGTAGCGTTCAGACCATCTTGAGATTCTTCTCTCTGCTGTGGCATTTATTCTGCCGTGTTAAATATGTGGGGCTTTCCCCCCCTCCCATCTCCCAGCCATTGGTTAAACACGGACCGTAAAATATGTACCATGTGTCACGGGTCTGAGTTCGCACTGCTGTAGGCTTGCTTTGGAATTTCCTGGTTTCTGAAAGCTTGATCTTTCAACTGTAGTATAGTTCCTGAACCTTAAAGTCCGGTCTTCCAGAAGAAAATGTCGACTTTCCTCGTGACCGAAGGGTTTTAATTTGTCATTGTTCCTTATTAAAAAGAAATACAATCCCATGGTCTATTTTATTATTTTTTTTAACACGGTACAACTAGCTTTTGTTATTTAATAAAACCAGATCTACTCCAATTGTTCCTTCATTCACTCCCCCTCTCTCCATAATCCTGCTCTTGGTACCCTGGCCGGTGTGTCTCAGTTGCTTAGAGCGTCATCTTGAAACTAAGAAGTTGCAGGTTCAATCCCCAGTCTAGCCTCCTACAGGAGTCAACCAATGGATGCTTCTCTTTTGCACTGATACTTCTCTCACTCCCTTCCTTCCTCCCTGCCTCTCTAAAAGCAATGAAAAACAAAACCCTGCTCTTTGAATAAAAAGACAAGCTTGTTAGCGGAATGCCTTGGAAGGTGAATTTGCAATTCTCTCTCTCTCCCGTTTGTTCCGGGGGCACAGTCTGCCTCGGAGTTGGCTGTCTACTGCAGGCCAGCGGCTTAGGAGCAGAGAGGGCTCCAGAGAGGAACCGGCTGAGGGACACCTCTGTGACCCCAGCGTCAGACGGAGGTCTGGTCTTCAGCCGGCTCAGGAGGCCTCGGCACCTGCTCCCCCACAGCTGCCATGACACGGCGCACAGATCTCACGGCGCTTGTTACGTGAGCACCCCGGAAATTCTGCGGGTTGTGACGTTCGTCACGTCTCATTCCCCATCCTCGGAGCTGCCAGCCCCACATTCCGGAGCCTTTACATTGTTCGCGTGTTTTTCCGCCTTGTGTGATCACATTGTATCAGGGCGGGGTTTCTGGTTCCCATTCACACACAGAAACATTGTCTTGTGGAATCAAAAGCTGGGCCTTCTGTTGTAACAAGATCTTTCTTTGGACCCCTGTGCGGATGAAGGAGTTAAATGCCTGGTGGCTCCCTGGGCTCCTTATGAGCTAGAAATACAGGGCTGAGCGCCTCCTCAGGCATTCTGAGTGCCACCTCTTCGAGTACTTTACCCGTGCCAGCGCCCCAGGCACGGCGATCAGAATAAGTGGACTTCTGTTCTCTTTCATCCTCAGAGCTGTTGCTGTGAGCTTTATCTTTATCCTCCCAGTGACTCTTAGGAGATGAGTCATCCTTGTTTCCTGGGGCCCCACGTTCTGCAGGGTTTTCTTACCCAGTGTCTCGCCTGGGACTCCACTACGGATCCCGCAGGGGGACGTAGCTTCCGCCTCCCCTTGGCCTCAGTCTGCTGGGAGGGGCCGGGCCTGCGAGTGATAAGTCACCCTCTGGGGATTCTCTGCAAGTGTCTGTAATAGAGGAGCTCTTGGGGTGGTAAAAGAACTTCTTGCTCCAGAGCGGTGCTGCCCAATGAGCTCTCTGAGGCGCTGGGAACATTGTCTGTGCTGTGCCGATCAGTTCCGGCAGTCACTAGCGGCGCGCGACCGTGGAGTCGCCGAACTGCGGCTAGTGAAACAGAGGCAGTGAAATGCAGACGAAATAAAAATGAAATTAAGTGTCAATTAGTGAAAGTTTTCATTTCAGTAGCCTCATCTGGCTACCAGCCACTGCGCTGGCCGGCACCCCTGTGGAGTATGGCCAGTCCGGCCCTTTGCTCGGGGTCCTTGATGAGTGGACTGCACTTAG